CCCCTCTGCTCTTTCCTTCTTTCTTTCTTTAAAATATATAGCACCCATAAAGGTTTTGGGATTGACAGCCCAGAAGATTGAAATTCTCAATTTATCCACAGAACGAGTACCATGCAGTTGAGTTAATAATCCTTCCATATACCTCAACCCTGACCAGGAGTGACCAGACAGAGGTTGGAGCTTCATTTCCATTCAGTCCTTGGCCTTTGTCCTGACTTTGCCATTGAGGAGAGCGATTAATGCCAGACGAGACATGGCTTTTTTGAAGGAAATGCTAGCCTGCTATGATCAGTATTGGCACCAGAGAGAAAACAAATAACATTTCCAGACTTCAAAAGAGACAGAGCAATAGCAAGAACTACAGTAATCATAAACATAACAATAAATTTCTTTTTTTTTTTTCCTATTACCTGAAAGCTTACAAGCCTGCTGGTGGTTTGGGCAAAGACAACGAAGCTAAATGCACATTTTAATAAATTGTCTTTACCTGTGACCTTTCTCTATTCTTAATCCAAAATCCTCTGAGAAATTTCATCTGTGTTAATTGATGTTCAGTAATCATCTCTATAGCATAGAAACAAGGGAAAGCAAAATGAGGTTTGTTTCTTTCGTGTCTTCCTTACTAAATAGCAACTGAAATTTTCATAGTCAACTTAAGTGAAAATATCATGACTCCTCCTCCCTGAGGAATTTTGTCTGAGATAGGTACAGAATGAAAATGTCTTTCTTAAGAAAAAATAGTAAATATAATTAACTCATGAGTAGTTCTGCATGAGTACTCATCTGTGCTCACCTTTGCCCAGCAATGGATCACTTTTCTCTCCAGTGCCTAGCTGCTGGTGTGTCAACTGGGTCAATCAAGCAAATTAAATGATTGAGTATTCTGTCTAGTTTCTGATGTCACATGCCAAATATGTGAAGAGGAGAGCTTACTATACATCCTGACAGGATTTGTGAAAAGATGGTAGGAATTACACAAAATTTCTTGAGCCTGAAACTGCAACAGCTCTAAATAGGGGTGTCCTTGGTTGTGTGGCAGTCCTATGCAAGAAACAGTAGACAGAAGAATCAGGAACCAGCAGCAACTTTTGGCCAGAGTCAAACAACTTCCTGTCACAGGTATTGGATGATCTCAAGAGAAATGGCGTGCTGCTCAACCCCCTACTAACAAACAGGGAAGGCCTTGTTGCTGATGTGAAATTGTGGACAGCTTTGGATCTAATGACCATGAGATTGTGGAGTTCAGTATTGGGCAAGGAGGAAGTAGAGCAGCAAGTAAGAATACAACCGCAGACTTCAGGAGAGCTAACTTCAACCTCTTCAGGGGTCTTCTTGGAAGAATACCACGGGAACAGACCCTACAGGGAAAAGGGTTTCAAGAGAGTTGGTTGATATTCAAAGATCATTTCCTCCAGACTCAAGAACAATGCATCCTGATGAGCATGTAGTGGGTTTCTGTGGCTAGGTTTTGGTAATGGGGGGACTACAGGGGTGGTTTCTGTTAGAAGTTGCTAGAAGCTTCCCCTCTCTGGTGGAGCCAATGCCAGCTGGATCCAGGATGGGCTTCCTGCTGCTGTCCAAGGCCTATACAATTAGGATTGATAGTAACACCTCTGTGATAACATATTTAAGAACAGAAGGTTGTTGCGCAGGTAAAAATTCCATCCAGGGAAGAGCGAAGTGAGAACATGTCAACAACAATACAAACACCAAGGTCAGCGCAGAAGGAGGGGCAGGAGGTGCCCCAGGTGCTGGAGCTGAGGCCTTTGCAGCCTGTGGTGCAGCCCATGATGGAGCAGCTGTGCCCCTGCAGCCCATGGAGGACCATCAGGGTGCAGAGACCCACCTGCAGCCCATGGAGAAGACCATGCTGGAGCAGGAGGACGCATGAAGGGGTCTGTGATCCCATGGGAGACCCAAGATGGATCAGGGTCCTGCCGAAGACCTGCAACCTGTGGAGAAGGAAGTCCACACTGAAGCAGGTTTTTCCTGGGTAGGACTTGTGGCCTCTGTGGGGGACCCACGTTGGTACAGGTCATTCATGAAGGACTGCAGCCCATGGAGGAGTGACCCATGGGATAGCAGCTTCATGAAGAACTGTTGCCTGTGGGATGGGCTCACGCTGGAGAGGTCCATCAAAGACTGTCTCCCGTGGGAGGGATCCCACGGGAGCAGGGGAAGGACTCCTCTCCCTAAACAGCAGCAGAAACAACAACTGACCACAATCCCCATTCACCATCCCCCTACACCACTGGGTTGAAGGAGGGAGAACATGGAAGGAAGGAGGGGTGGGGGGAAGGCGTTTCGAAGATTATTTTTTATTTTTCACTCTTTTGCTCTGATCCTGTTAGTAATAAATTCAATTAATATCCCCACTTTGAGTCTGTTTTGCCCCTGATGGTGATCAGTAAGTGACGTCTCCAGCCCTTATCTCAACTCATGAATCCTTCACTGTTTTTTTTCTCTCCTCTGTCCAGTTCCAGAGGGGAGTGAGAGAGCGGCTTTAGTGGGTACCTGAAGTACAGCCAGGGTCAACCCACTACAGCAAGAAATTAGGCAAAGGGGAAAGAGACAAGCATGGATGAATAAAGAACTCCTGTCATTATTCAAGCATAAGCAGGAAACACATGGGATATGGAAACAGGGTCAGGCCGCTTGGAATGAATATTGAGAAGCTGTCAGAGTAAGCAAAAATGAGACAAGGAAGGCCAAGACCCACAGGTAATTAAATCTGACCAAGGATGTCAAGGATAATAAGAAGGGCTTTTTCAAATACATAATAACAAAAGTAAAACAAAGGATAGTTGTGGGCCCATTACTAAGTGGTAATAATGGATTATGGACTCATTACTAATGGTACTAAATGGACCCTGGTAAGAGAGGAAACAGGGAAAGCAAAGTTACTGAATACTTTGTATGAGTCTTCACTGACAAGACCAGCCCGCAGAGTTCTCTGACCCAGGAGACTAGGCTTAAGGAATCTTGGAAGACTTTCCCTTGGTCAAGAAGACTGGGTTAGAGAACACCTAGATAAAGTTAACAACCACAAGTCCATGGTCCCCGATGGGCTGTGTCTATGAGTGCTGAGGGAGTTGGTGGACACCACAGTGAGGCCTCTCATGATCATCTTCAAGAGGTCATAGTGATCAGGAGGTGCCTGAGGACTGGAAGAAAACAAATATTATCCTGGTCTTCAAAAACAGCAAGAAGGAGGACCCAGGAAACTACTGGCCAGTCAGCCTCACCTCAATCCCTGGAAAGATGATGGAACACCTCTTTCTGGAGGCAATCTATAGCCACATGGAGGACAAGAAACTGATCAGAAGTAGTCAGCATGGATTCACTACAGGTACATCACGTTCAACGAACTTGATTGTCTTCTATGATGAAATTGCCTGTATGGATGAGGGGAGAGCAGTAGATATCGTCTCCCTCAACTTCAGCAAGGATTTCCACACTCTCACAACATTCTCATAGGTAAACTCAGGAAATGTGGACTGGATGAGTGGATAGTGAGGTGGATTGAGAACTGGCTGAACAGCAGATCTCGGAGAACTGTAATCAGTGGCACAGAGTCTAGTTGGAGGTCTGTCACTAGTTGTGCCCCTCAAGGTTCAACACTGGTCCAATATTGTTTAACTTGTTCATTGATGACTCGGATGAAGGGCCAAATTCCTCCTCGGCAAGTTTGCTGATGACACAAAGCTGGGCCAGGGGGCTGATACCTCAGGGGGCTGTGCTGCCCTTCAGAAGGACATTGGCAGGTTGGAGAGATGGGCTGAGAAGAACCGTCTGAAGTTCAACAAAGGCAAATGCGGAATCCTGCATCTGGGGAAGAATAACTCCCTGCACCAGCACAGGCTGGGGGCTGACCTGCTGGAAAGCAGCTCTACAGAGAAAGACCTGGGAGTCCTAGTGGACAACAAGTTGTCCCTGAGTCAGCAGTGTGCCCTTGTGACCAAGGCCAATACTATCCTGATCTGCATTAGGAAGATCATTGCCAGCAAGTTGAGGGAGGTGATCCTGCCTTTCCAGTCAGTCCCAGTGAAGCGATTTCTGGAGTGCTATGTCCAGTTCTGGGCTCCTTGGTATGAGAGAGACATGGCACTCCAGGAGCAAGTCCATCAGAGGGTAACAAAGATGGTTGAGGGACTGAAACATTTCTCTAATAAAGAAAGGCTGAGGGAGTTGGGCCTGTTTAGCCTCAAGAAGAGACAACTGAGAAGGAATCTTGTCAATGTATATAAATAACTGAAGGGACAATGTCATGAAGAGGGAGCCAGGCTCTTCTCAGTGGTGCCAAGAAATAAGAAGCAAAGGGCAGAAACTGATGCACAGGAAGTTCCACCTGAATATGAGGAAGAACTTCCTCACTGTGCAGGTGACTGTGCCCTGGAACAGATTGCCCAGGGAGGTTGTGGAGTCTACCTCACCGGGGATATTCAAGAACCATCTGGACCCAATTCTGTGCCATGTGCTCTAAGATGACTCTGCTTCAGCAGGGAGGTTGGACCAGATGACACAAGATGACACCAGATGTGGTCCCTTCAAATCTGACCCATTCTGTGTCTCTGCAATTCTGTGAAAAGTAATAGCATTGCAGAGTAACAGACCTTCCAGTCCCTCACAGTGGCTAAAGGGCTGAACAATGCAAGCTGTAGCTTGCAGGGGAATCTTCTCCCAAAGGTTGTACCAGGAGAACTATATGGAAAAGGAGTGCAGTCTCTAGTATTTACAAGAAAAATGTGTCTATCTTTAGATTTATTTGAAAGATGGTTATATATGTATTATATGTTATTTATAATATCCATTGCAATTCATTCAGTGATATATCCTTAAATAGAAGAAAAAGAGAGGTAAAAAAATCACAAATTAGACTAGATATTTTACAGAAAAAATGTACATCCCTTCCATTTTCATTGAAGAAATCCTACATGAGGTCATATAAATGTACATATGGCCCAATAATCTATTTCTTACAGAGGACAGAAACATATGCCTGAAAAAGAGATAAATTAAGTGTGCAGTTCCCCAAGATATCTGACAGCAAATATAGAGTTTTTGGACTTCCAGAGCTAGATAGAATAATTTTATATTTTTTTAAGCTTGGGTGAATTTTTCTTCCATACATTTGTCCTGTTGCTTTTTGAACCTATATGAACTATGACATCTACTTTTTAAAAAGATGCCTCTAACTCATGTGATAGGAAAGATGATGAACAATCATTACTTAGTTACTTTTTCTATGCCTACAGTTTTATAGATCTGTATCATATCCCTCTCAGCATCTTTTTTGTAAAGAAAAAACTTCACTTTTGTTGTTTCTTCTGTGGAAATTCTTCATGTTGCTTGTTTCTTTACTTTTCACAACTGTTTTTTATCCCTTTTGAGGGAGACACAGCTGCCTTCTATAGACACTGCTGCTGCAACCAGAGCTGCATATAGTGTTGAAGGACTGGCTGCATTGTCAATTTCTACAAAAAAGTAATAATGTCTTCAGATTTGTTCTCTCTT